GCTCACGGATTGTGCCAAACACAGATTTTCCGTGTGTGTCGCACTTATTTTTTTCTTTTTTGTATTGCTCATTTCCTATTTTCAAATACCCGTGACATTAGAACCAAGAGAATAGAGACAACTAATACAGCTCTAGCAAGCCAAATCCGCGGCGTATCATCAGAGCAGATTTCAGCAAATCTCAACGCCATTTTCTATGAACACTTAACTCGCAGTCTTCAGCGTTGCCTGGCCGGTGATATCCAATTGGGTAGATGGTGCCCTGGCAGCGTTTCGGCGGGCGACATTTTCATCCTGGCAAGTGATGAACTTCACTTTCTCGTGCATATAATAGAAGTTGGCAATGGATTTGTTACCTTCCAGCTTCGTGGTCTCGAGTTTGTTGGTAAGACCATCGTCATTTACCTCTTACGATGATCTTTATGACTTCTGGTCTAATAGCTAGCTGGATTCGATCCAAATACTAAATTTTACTTGACGCCTATTCCATAATTTCATTATCTATTCATAAATTTCCATTTTTTATTTGAAGTTACTTGTAGAATAGCTATATTCATGCATTCATTGTATACTTATCTACTATCAAACTTCCACATTGGGCTTGGATAGCTCTTTTTGTAACATTCATATGTTTTTAGTCTGTAGTGATTTGATTTTTCTGACCTATCGAGATTGCAATTAAATATATGTTTTATTATTTCTTGATTAATCGGGAAGTCTATTTATTTTTCCATATACTTTATTTTACCAATTGCTCCTATTTATTTATTTAAACAAATATTTCTATCTTAGGCACTTATTGTCACGAGCGAGAGACTGAGGGCTTGCGCACTGAAGCACCTACCTGTGACTGCCCTTGTTACACATTCTGTTGCTTTCCCTCCCGACCTAGTGAAATAATTTCTGAGTCAGAGCCATCTGGATCTAATACCTGTTGCAATTGCCTTTGGCGATCCCAGACATCAGACACCATGATGGCCACTCGTTGCAGAGGTAATCCCAGTACTTCAACTTTCATGCTCTCCACTAACTCTGCTGTTCTGAATAAATCTCATTCTCTACCAACAGATCCTGATGTGGATGCTGGCATTATAGCTGCCGAAGATTTAACTTTACCTTCCAGTGCAAGACATGGTGGTGCTTCTGAGCATACCGAGGTTGTCGCTTGCTGTTCGACTCAAGAAACTCAATTGAATAATGATGTCGACGGACAGATAACTTACGAATACGCCAGCCAATCTCTTGCACCTCCTGTAGCTTCTCCTTTGCTTAAATCTTCTCACTCTCATCGACAATCTTCCTCTTCATCGGTTTACTCTTCATTTCATTCATTAACCTCTTCCCCTCTTTTCTCTCCACCTCTGCCTCAGCCTTCCACACTTTCTTCCCTTTCACCTTCTTTAACCTCTTCTTTATCTTCCTCTTCGTCTTCCCCATCCTTAGTTAACTCTCCATCCGCCTGTCCCAGTCCCCCGAATTTGACCTCCAACTCTTCACGACGCCGCCAGTCCAGACAGCCTCCAGTAGATTGTTGCTTTCAGCCTGCTTCGCCTCATTCACTTTCTATATGCAGGGCTTGCTGCTCTAGTTTTTATTCCCATTTGGGCTTTTTCGAATCGCTACGCTATCGTAATCGAGATCGACAAAGGAGCCATGGACGAAATCCTGATCTAGACCAGGACCGGGATCAAAACCAAGACCTAACTCACGCATGCACTGATTGTGAATGCGATTGCTCTTCCCATCGTGTCTATGATAAGTCCTGTCAGTTAGGTTGCCGTCCCCTGCCTCACCGAGTCCGTTGCGTTCGCCAAAGAAACGCCCTGCCACTACTTAGTCTCAACTCTGCCTTACATTTGCGCTGGGTGGCTTGGGAGTTCGTATATTCTCCCTACCTGTTGGACGGCTATCGTATGACTGACCATAGTGCAGGTACATCTCTTCAACTCATTGATCTACGCAAAGTGGTGGTTGACTTTTTTGTGCAGGTAAGAATAAACGTGAGACCGTCAATTCTAATGAAACGAGATTTCTCTGAAATATTCAGGGTATCCTGTTATTTAGGATTTTGATGAATGAGATTATGCCAAGATGGTATTAAAATTTCAACTTCAATCGAGTCTTTCATCTGAATTCATGCATGCTTCTTCCTGTCTGAGGCTGAGAACCAAAAGTGGTTTTTCATGTATGTTGTTTGGGTTAGCTGCTCCTGTCTTTTTCTCAAAATTTAGTTTAGACTTGTAGTGTATAGATAACTTCTTATTTCTCACCTATTTTATTATTTTTCAAATGTCGAGCCAAAGCGTTGTTAATGATCAACTTTCAAATTCATTATTAAACTTCGCTTTGGTAAAGCCTTATAGAATTTGCCGCTTAGTATGATAGGAAATGATGATAGATTTAGTCAGGAGATTTTAAAGGGAATGTTAAACTTTCTCAATGATTTTTATGTTTCCACTTTATTGACTAGTGCATTTTATCCAGGATTTGAATACAAGCGAGGCTTTAAATACAAATAATCTTGGATGAATGAAAAAATTTCTGATATAAAATTGAGTTACGCTGAAATATTTGTCATTGAAGCATCATATATGTCTGTAACATATTTTTTGCATTGAAAATTCTGTCTAGACTAATTGTATACTGGTCTTTCCGAATTCCTGAAAAAGATATCCCCAAGCTTGTGATTATTCTCCATATGCTATCTAGGCTGAGTGTTAGTATGCCCTCTACATTCAGAATTAAGTCACTAAT